AATATTTTGGACATCGATGAGACAGTACGTACTCACTTTCTGCCTTAAAATTATCTAAAGATTAATAAATACATAAATACATATAATAAGACATAAAGATTGAAAACAATTATATAAGTTTCTATCTCTCTAATAAAATGAATAAATGTTCTCATATTTAATACTATCTATTTTTCACGTTCTAGCCGAATACATAAGAAATTTTAAGTTATATATATATATATATATATATAACAATATCAATTAACACTTTAGTTAGTTTCAAATTATTTAATAAACAATTGGTTCACTATTATCTAGACTTCGGTCAAAAAGGATCAATTACCTGAGCAAATACTTACAAGATTGAGGAGAAAGTTGACCCTTTCCTTGAATACGAATAGGTAAAGGCTGTCTACATCCGTAAGTGTAGAAATAGTAAGGAGATACAAATGCAATGCTCTGTTTACAATCAGTTGTTAACCAATTTTTTGTTACGGCTCAGTTAATTTGCTTTACATTCAGCGATGATCTGCCTCTGTGGTTTTATGTTATATTTTGATTCTAATAAAATTTATTGTACTTTAAGATAATTATGTACAGTAAATTTAACATATTAAGACAAATTTATAGTAAATAATATATAAGCTTATATTTATATTGGAATAATATTGTAGAATCACATTTCATACATATAATTTATAAAATTAGTTTTCAATTAAATAAATTTTATCGAATTCTGTTGAATTAATGTATGAATATAAATAATATATACACATTAATTCAGATAGTACAATTACTGATATACGAGTCTCATTTAAAATTATAGTTCTAAACTAATATAAGTCCAATATTAAATAGGTAAATCAATGCAGTTTAAATTAATACGGTTTCACATTATAATAATATATAAGCTAAATAGTAAGACTGACAAAAAAAATTTATAATTTGAGAAATTCCAAAGTAAATTATCAAAATTGATTATAATTGCTTACTTTAAATTAAATATTTAAATCTAATGATATTACATTAAAGATGGAAATTTATATGTATAAATTCAACACGTATAACTAATAAATAACTTAAAATTTACTATTTCTTATACGATTTTTATTTCCATATGTTTGCAAATCATATTTTTACATTTTATTTTTATAATGAAAATAGCGATTATTTTTTTTTTATAATATTAATAAATCAATTTATCCATTATTCTAATAGTAAAATTTGATATTCTTATATCGATTGTTTCGGTTAGATCATAATAGTTGTTATGAATCGTTATTAAAGAATCTAATTAATCGTTGGAATAAATGCTATTGCATAGTTTTATTATATAAATTATAAATATTTCAATATATAAAATAATTATTTATAGATTTAATAGTTATCAATAAATTATGTCAATTGAAATTACTTCAAATTTACAGACTCATAAAATGATAAATAAAGTGTAAGATCTACAACGATAATTTTTCGAGAAACAATTGTTATTTTTAAATATTGTTTGTTTTTCTAATTACTAATACAATTAAGTTTATAATTTTATATAACTAATAAGTGCTTTTTAATTTTGATTGTAATAAAATTATTATACATTTTCTTCTATAATTTCTGGATTTTATTTATGGTTTTCAAATACTATTATATCGATTAAAAATATTGAAATATATATTATAATTTTAATTTCGAAACTTTATAAAATATTTTACATATCTACATAAATTTTGAATAACGTATGTGAATAATATTTTTAACCTATATTGCTCAATTAAAATTGAAATTAAAACCTAATATAATTATATTGTTTATTACTATAATTGAAAGATAATATCTTGTAAGATTTTAAATTATAAGGTACTATTGAAAATATTAGTATTGATAAACAAATAATAATAAATATTACGCATATTATTAAATTCCAGGAAAAAATCGTCAAATGTACTGTATTAAATAAATCTGGTCTTGAAATAGTTTTGAGTTTATTATTAAATAATTATATACACAAGTTAATAATGTATTTAAAAACAAAATATTACAATACAATTTATGTATCATTTGAATTTAATTTTCGAAAATAAATTTTTATCTGTTATTTTAATTTTTACATCAAAAGTTTTACAAGCTTATATTAACCTATAGAATATGTATGTCACAAAAATAATTAATTAATTTATCTATTGTTAAACGTGATTTTTTTTAAATGAATTTTGATACTTGTTCATTGAAAAGTAGCTGGAAGAAATATTGGAAAAATGCATATTGAAATTATTAAAATAATAAGGAGAGGGGGAGAGGACGGACAGCACCAGATTTAAAAGATTCCTTGTATGTGAATAATTAAAAATTATGTTAGAGCAATTGCTAAAATCTATTTTTCGGAAAAATTATTTTTATTTTATATTTAGACTAATATAAATAAACGAACAAAGATGATCAGAGAAATAGTGTACGTTCTTGTTCAGCTTTCTTATGTCGTCCAGAGAAATAAGCGATCGTCGTTGTAATGGAAACGGAAAACTTATACAGAAACTGTGCGGTTGCAAGAATAATGATAGTAAAGGGAGAAATGAAGAAAAGAAAGAAGAAAAATATGTAACAAGTGGAAAAATATAATAGTGAGAGTAACGATGTTGACGGCACGTGACGGAAGTTCACTCTAGGTGGTACCTCGACTCTTCTTCTCTCTAGAGACGAATTTTATTATTCTTACTCGTTTATTTTTCTCTTGCATCTTCTATTTTTACTCGATATGGCAGGAATTCTCGCAATCGTATCACTGTCGTAATAGTGATTCGTTAAAACGCTTGAAAGGGAAATTGTAAAAGTATTTGAGAAAGAGACATACTAGGATTGGGAATTTCAGAGATGAAATGAGCAAAAGCAATAGAAGAAAGAAGGGCCTAAAAAAAAAGAATATAGCAGAAGTATAAGTGAGTAAGATATTTTTCTCTCGTGGTCTCCGACTCAGCTCACGAGCTGAGGTCTAAACCGCAGGTGAACAGCTGATATCATTATCTATATACCAATTTAGGTAGAATCCTGGAAGATGCAGTGGCGAAGTTGCCTGCGCACGACTCCCGAGAGATGGGACTATCTCCGGGGTGGGATACAACTGCAACTAAGCAGATACAGAAACAGTGAGGAAAAATCAGAGAGTTGTGATGCTCGAGAATCATATATCCGACGGGAGCAGTTGTCTTTTTCCTGTCACTTTATGTCTCGTCCAGCGGGTGCTGCACGACTTTTCATCTCTTTTCCTCGACTGCTCTTTTCCTTCAACTGATCTTCCTTTATCTTCGCCTCTTTTCTTATCCACGGATTCGCATTTTCTCTGGGTCTTTAATACATGTATAGCTCCATTTGGATGCACGACAGCTGTTAATAGCTTTTCTTCTCATCGCTCCTAGTACTCGCGCATTCCAGCAGCCTTTGTTGTTTAATCAAAAGTTTTACCAAGCTACGTCTTACATACTGAGCTTCTATTAATTTTATAACAACCATCCTTTGAATCTAATATTTTTAGAATAATTAAATAGACAATTTATTAATCATAAGATTTAAGTATTAAATATACTTTGAATAAAATATTACTTTCACGTTTTTCCTCTATACTTTGTTAAATAGACGTATAAATCGTTATATGTTCCGGTTACGAATCGAGTCAAGCGACGTAAATACAACATTAATATTGTGTTAACTATAATCTTTTGACAATATAGCGACTTTGATATTTTCATCCCATCAATATTATTCAGATATTGTTGCGCTTGCTATATTGTTACGCATTGATAATAAATGTATACCATAAAAAGTACTTAAACAACTTTTAATATTATACGAAAATGGTATAAGAAATATTATAATATTGAATAGAAAAACGAGTATAAGTAAACATTACGTGATGTAAAGATAGGGAAATCAGAATTGTTTGTACAATTTTTTAAGATGAACAAATAAATTTACTAATGAGAGTTAGTAATCAAATTTTTTAAAAAAGGATTTTTAATGAAACGACAGTTGAAATATTTAGTTTATATTTATATATTTCTAAATTTAATTAGGAATTTTGATTACAATTTACTAGCAGTTTCATTCTCAAATTTACATCGATTCAGTCTTAACAAAATATTATGCAATTATGCAAGTTGAACGTTTTACTTTAAATAGTCAACAATTAATATCAAGGTATTGGGATCGTTGCGAATACATTCAATAGCAGAGACAATAATTTAACTTAGGCTTAGATTACGGTATTTTATTGGGAAATTCTTAAATATCATAAAAAAAAAAGAAAAAAGGAAAATTACTTATAATAGTCTTCCGATATTAATTGCTCTGTTGCACAACGTTCCTTACAATATCACTTGAGGATTGAGAGGAAACTGAATTTTTCCCTTCTCTCCTATGTATTTCGGATAAAAATACGGTAACAAAAGCCATGATTAGCGACTCATTTTTCTCTTGTTTCGAGTTCTTCTCGGGATATAGCGGCTTTTAGAAGTCCTACAGTGAACATGACCACGTCTCTAAATTGTGGAACCACGGAGTGTTTAATCCCCGTCGCTTTGCGGTGACTCATAGCCACGAGCAAATCTATTTATTTACTCGGCTGTGAAAGCATAGAAGGATAGAGGATGGAGAAGGTGGAAAAAGATTGCAGGAATATTCCTCGCGATTCATACTTGGTAGATGTTATGCAAACGCTATGCAGATTGAAGGCGTCGAATCTTAAGTCGAGTTTAGCTAAATGAAATCACTTTTCAGCCCCTTTTCCCACCCCGGTCCCGAGCTTCCTTCGTTTTCCCTCCCATTCACTATCTAACATCCGCCCGCACTTGCTTCTGCCAATTTCCAAACGGATGCCATATTTTCCGCAACTCAGCTCGATCAACGCCGTAGCGCAGTGCTCAAAATACATTCTCCCGTCCTCATATTACGTACGCATATTAATATACGTCATAATAATGAAGGGAAGTAAGTGGTGGACAATGATGATAATTGCTGATCTTAGTACTCACCATCTTTGACGCACAGGGCCCCGATAATCCAAAGCGAGATAATTGGCACAACGAGGAAGCCTGCGCAGCTCGAACGACGATACGACCGATTGCACTTGTTATTTTTGCATCCATCGATGAGGCAGGTGCGATTCACCGACACTCGATGGCTCGGTCGATGGGTCGCTCGATGGGCCGCTCGATTGGCCTGTCGATTGGCCTGTCGATTGGCCTGTCGATTGGCCTGTCGATGGGCCGTTTGATGGGCCGCTCGATGGCCCGCTCGATGGGCCGCTCGATGGCTCGCTCGATGGCTCGCTCGATGGGCTGCACGACGGGCCGCTCGATGGCCCGCAGATGGAATCATGATCGGCACCGGTGGTGGTCGACCGCTTCCCAGTCAAGCCGGCCAACAGCGGTGGCCCCGGTAATCATGAATAATATCACAGGGATGCGACTTACTTTAGTCCCGCATCGGGCACATCGTCACCTCAAATAACTCACCCCGCCCCCGCCCCCGCCCCCTCCTCCTTCTCCTAAAGCCGCACACAAACACTCCGAGGGCCGAGTGGCCCGCACTAATCCAGCACCAAATGAGCGATTTCGTATTTGTTTCTCGGTGCTCCGCTAATCAACATCCTCTCGAGCTTGTGACACTCGCGTCGCGGTCGTCACCTCGTCCGACGACAAACAGGACACAAGCGGTCACACGTGTCCCTACCCGTCACTTCCGGTGCCGCGAACCCCCCTTGCTGCCGCCGTCATCCCGTCCTAATAGCGTACAAGAATAATGGGACCAAACGCTCAAGGGCAATCGGTCGATCGAGAATATTGTCCAAAGGTTGAAGCGCGACGTGCAGCAGCTGTCCTCGGGCGCGAGCGATAACGAGCGAACTGAGTCGTTTGGCGAAATGGGAAAAAGGCCGAGGTAGGCGAGAGAGGTTGAGCCGTAAGCGGCTGAGAGACGGTGAAAGAGCGAACGTGAATTGCCAAGAGAGACGGGGCTGTGCAAGATATGGAGAGACGGAGAGATAATAACATGGGTAGTGAGAGTGAGAGAGATAGATAGACAGAGAGAGAGAGATAGAGAGAGAGAGAGGGAGAGTTAGAGACAGCGAGAGAGTGAGAAAGTGAGAGAGTTGGGAGTAGGGATGGGGGAGGGGGGAGTTGGTGGGGTGACTGGGCTGGTTGGTGAGGGCAGGTGGATGGGTGGGTGGGTGGAGGGGGAGGGATAGAACGCGAATATTGAGATAGAGAGGGGGAAAAGATAGCTAGGAACGCGGGGCAGCCGCCATCGGCGAGATTACGCTCCCTTTGCTCGCTCGCACTGGCACCGTCGCGTCGATCGAAAGAGGAGCGAGGCGCAACGCGGACAGTCGTTGCTGCGAGAGCGCGCGCACACCCCCTCTCGACGCCTCGCATGCGTATTGAACCAAGAGCCGCCGAAACCGCCAACCCCTCGTTCCGAGCCGCGCCGGCGCCCTCGTTCCCAGCCGCGGCCCCGCACTTTGACAAAGTCCGCGGATCCTGGACCTCCGTCGAGCGATTAGCGGTACTCTAGCTTGGAAGTCTGTGCTGGATTCTCTTTGCCCTGATACACGGTCATTCCCGCCTCTTATTATATTAATGATGTTGCGTTAACGATGGCCAAGTATATTTCTCGCGCAAAGTACGACTCGTGGTAATTTGTTAAAATATTTTCTTCCATTTTACCGAAATTTAACGAAAGGTCCATCTCGATAATCTATGTGTATGAAAAAGACCTGAAGATATTTTTACTTCACTTAAGCTGATGTATCAATACTTTAATATACCGCCGTGCCTTCAATTATTATTATTATTGATAATTGTAAAGATAAGAATCCGTTACAAATGTTATTTGTGTGGGGAATTTGTTTTTAAATTACTTCTTATGAGAAAGGAGCCTTAGTTAACGTGATAAATAATATTTGTCATTTTTCGAGCAATAATAGTAAGATTAGTATACACTATAATCAGTTATAAAATTACTAATGTTAAAAGTGTACTGCGTTTAATATTCATTTATAATGTATTCAATTGTACAACAATGACTTTATTGATTAAAATTAGATGACTGTAAATTTGTCAATGACAATGATCACTAACACTAACATTTCTTTCAATATTATACATATATATATATATATATATATATATATATATATATATCGATTTATAATACAAGTTCATTTCATAAACATAACGACAGGTATAGATTTAAATAAATAGTACAAGTTGATGTTATAAGACAATTTTTCATTCCCATTGATCGACTATCCTTGAACATTAATTTCTTTCTTTCGCTGAATAAAAAATCTTTCTCTTTCTCAAATGAAATTAAATAATTTTTCTTAATTTATTGTTGATCACTTGAATGTGACAGCCGAACGTCGCGTACCATTTCCTTATTCAGTCTAGTTGCTGTGCATGTACTCCACTGAATATGACAAAATTCGTTTTGAGAGAACAGTTCTCTTTGGAATACAGCTTGACTAGATAGAGACTTTAGCACGTTAAAGCACGCAAATACCTCCCGGTCCTGTCGACGTCACTTCGAGGTTCAGCAGACCTGTCGCCAGTTGCCGTATCGTCTGGAATAAACAATGGACCTAATCAACGAACACTGCGAAATCCAATTATGGAACAAATTCTATACAACTATGTTCTCCTTAAAATCAATGCCCCCTCTTTCTCTATATTCTGTTTTCTCCAAGCAGAGCTCTCGACAATTTCAATTCTTTGTCTTTGTTCAAAAATGCTGTAAACTTCCGACAAAATCTTTGTAAATTCAAATAATAGTCGGTATACGTTTACTTGCGATTTATTGTAATTCTAACCAACTTAATCCATAGATTAACGAAACTTGTACTTGTGCAAACAATTCTAAGGTTTGAGAACCTTATATTTTTATTGTATTTTAACGATTGGAGACTTACTAATCTAAATATAAATGTGTACTTTAATGTGTGTAATTTATTAAATTAATATTATTACTTAGCAGCATTAGATTATGTAAATACATATCCATACCTTTTTTCATATATTAATCAGATCCGGATAAGGATGTGATATATTTTGTACGATGTGATGAAGCAGGTGTAATTCATGTTATGGCCATCCTTTAAATTCTATAACAACCTTTGATTGGTTGCCAATTGAATGAAGCCAAATCATAACCGCATTCAAATACTTTAGACACCGAACATATTCTAAAACTTCTGAAATTCGCGAGACACTCAAGATTTATGATTCTGATTTATGATTATGTTTTTAATTATTAATAGACCTACTTAGCTAATGTTCTTAATAAAAGCTTATAAGATATTTATTATGCATTATTATCTAAATATTTACTTTTAAATTAATTTAATTACATGGGATTGTGTTTCAATTATTAAGTTCATGAAATAATAAAAAATGCTAAATTTCTGAGTTTTAAGACTACTTGATACACTTTCTTCATTTCTATAACGTTATTCGTTTGTGTAAAAATTGACAAATTAATAATCCTCGATATTGCATTTTAAATCATACTTCTCTCCCTGCATATTGACATTTTTTTTCACTTAAATCAAATTGACTCTTTCAATCGCAATTTTATCTTATACTCTAACGAGATATAAAGCATAATCTTGAACTCTCTATAATAAACTATTTACGCAGATGTTTCAAGTTCATTTATCTCTATTCTTGTTCAAAATATTTTTACGACCCTTTTTTATTTCCTCTAATCGACATCACTTAAGGATATCATACATGTATTATTTTTCATTTTTTTATTACTGAATAAAGAGATTTATATATATATATATATATATATATATATAATAGCAGCAAAAGGCACCCACATCATGCTTAATACAAGTACTCATTGATTTTTCATTATATGAAAATTTTCTGTTTCACTAAATTAGAATTGGTATTTTTTTTATGCTTATATAATGACTTCCTATGTTGTTCAATCCAAAATAAGTAATTTTTCGGTTTCAATTCTTGGACAACGAGATGATACAGTCATCTTATGATTATCTGCTATTTTATAGAGCCAGTCTATTTTTTTTAGTGAGTCTTGTGCTGTACGTATCTTTTGTAATTTCAGCTGCGTTACAACCAGTTGGTAAACTTCCTTTAGCTCTTGTTACATTGCGCAACAAAATCCCTTGTGTAGTTTCTGCAACGTAAAGTAAGAAGTATTTCCCTCTTGTGACTACTAACACATGCAACCCGAATATCACTCACTGTTTTCCTGTTTCATATGACCTTTTCACCTCGTGTACCTCGTGCTGTTTTAGAGTTCGACTGCTTGACGATGTTCTTCGTGTTCCATTACACAATCTAAAGATTCTTTTTCAACCATCATCTCTTTTATTTTTCTGACCTTTATTAATTGAATCTAAAATTTTTTTTTTAATTTTTCTACTGAAAATTAAAATCTTAGAGAACGAAAATCACATGTTACTATTAAAAATAACGATATAACCAATTTACTTTAAATAAAGTTTATATGAAACAATTATAACTAATTTATTTAATTTTTATTTACGGTATATAATAATAATAAACATTATTCAAAATACATTAATGATAAAGCACTATTTATTTTAATAAGATTCGGAGTTACTATTTGAGATTCTAATTACTATTTTAGTTAAAAAGAAATCGAACGTTATAATTTGTTTAATTATAGTTTTTCATTTTAGCCGTGGCATCCAAGAATACCGTTGCAGTGGAAATTGAATGAGGGAAAACTCAACGACAGCTCGGACACTTTTAATATGAATAAGACATCGAGATAAAATGTCAATATCTTGCACAATTGAAACGGTAGCATCTTTTAATTTTCTCCCTACGCGACTATTGACACAGCGAGCTTTCGAATTTCATGTATCGATACGTTGATTATTTTCTACTAACTGATTTTCAGAAGTAAAATAAAACAATCATTAGATAAGGATAATAAGTATATTGTCTCACAGATAGACAAAATTATGACCGTCTTACTAATTAATTCTGAACTACATTCCAATTCTAATAAGATAAATCATTTTGTCGACCTACGATGCGGTCGATTCTGGCGCTCGAATTCCAGGTAATCAGCGCAATTAAACATGTTCATTTTAAACATTGACACATTATAAAGGCTTTTATTTTGCTCCATATTATATTTATTCTCATTTTCAATAATATTCAATGAATTTGAAAAAAAAAAATATATATATATATATATATATAATCTATATTAATGATTTTATAAGCTTCAAAAGAAATTTGTTGAGCCAAATAACTATAAAAAATAAAAGAAATAAAATGTATACATAAAGTTTCTCAAATAAAACAATCGTACTT